GCTAAATTAGCAGTTCATTACATTTCCCCAAAACCCCAAAACCCCAAAACCCCATATTCCTTATTTAAAATGAATTTTAGATTGATAATTTAAAATTTAAACAAATTAATCTTTAAGTATGGCTCAAAAACCCCAAGAAAAGCAAAGAATGTTTGACCTCGGACCAGAGGAAATGTGGACTCCATTCCTAGAAGAAGTTAATGACCTTATGATTGAAGAAAAACAAGCTCGTCATGAGAATGATGGCATTAAAACCTCTGAGATCTGTGTGAGAATTGTAAGTATCATTAAAAAGCTAGTCTAAACCATCAGCTGATTAAAGTTGGTTGATTTTCGCAGAAAACCATTATTTGATTTATTTGGTTGAGATATTTATTATTTGGCTATAGTTAAGATTGGCTTACGATTAGAGAGACTTTGTTAAGCTTAGAGAGTTCTTGATTATTCTTACTAAGAGAAGAGGTCAAGCAAAGAAGCCTATTGTTGATATGGTTCAATTGCTAATCAATGAATTTTTACCATTAATGCCCACTCGTGAGGAGAAATATAATCTCTTACAAACTATCAGAGAAGCCACTGATGGTAAGATGTTCCTTGAAAGAGAGTATGCTAACTCAACTAAGTGGCTCTGTGAAATGTTAGAGGAAGATGGTAAAATTGATGAGGCAACTAAGATCATCTAAGAGATTCAAATAGAGACATATGGTTCATTGCAAACTGTTGAGAAAGTTGATTTCATTCTTTATCAAATGAAACTTGTCTTGATTAGAAGAGACTTCGTGAGATGCTAAATTCTATCAAGAAAAATTTCAAGAAAACATCTTAATGAGGCTGGACTTGAGAAGCAAAAGATTCAATATTTCCTCTTCATGGTTAGGTACTATGTACACGAGAAGATGATTCTTGATACAGCTAAAGCTTTCCAAACCATCTATGATACATATAACAAGTCAAATCCTGATCTTGCTCTTGATACCACAGGTTAATTGAAGACAACAGCTTTCTAAAACTTCATTATTTACTTAATGGTTGCTCCATATACAAATGAAAAAGTTGATCTCCTCAACATAGCAGAATCTCTCTATACTAGAGAACTAGACTAAAATGAACTGATTGCAAAGTTCATGAGAAAATTCCTAACTTATGAGCTGATGCCTTTTAACGACCAAGAGATTGAGTAATAATTCAGCTAATTTGAACCCTTCAGAGCTGATTTGACAGAACATTCTCACAATCATTCCTAAGATTTCCTCAGATAATTGATCTAACACAACATCAGAGTTGTCTAAAAATACTATCAAAGAATCAGACTTCCAAGATTGGCTTAATTAGTAGGAGTTAGTGTAGATCTAGCTGAAAAGGAAATTGGAGATATGGTTGTTAACAAACGTCTTGTAGCAAAGATCAACAGAATGCAAGGTATTGTCTCCTTCTAAAAGAACAAGTTCACCAATGATGTCTTAAATGACTGGAACTATGACATCAGACACATGCTAGATAAGATTGAGAATACTTGCCACTTGATTAACAGAGAAAAGGTGGTCCACAATGTTGTTTGAGATATTAGCAATAATTGATAAATATATTATATCTCACTATCCATCATAAATTACATGATTACGGGGTTTTGGGGTTTTGGGGTTTTGGGG